GCGTGTGTGTGTGCGCGCCAGGCTCAGGCCGCGGACGTACTGCCTGGCAGACAGTGATGAGGAATCGTCCAGCGCCGGCTCATCGGATGAGGAGGATCCCCCAGAACTCCTCAGTGACAAGCCTGTTCCGCCGGGAGCCGAGGGGTGAGCTTTACAGCGACATCAGCACGTATCTGAATTGAAAATGGGCAGAATCGGATTCGTGTTGAAGCAGAACGCTCTGCCCTTTCAGTCCACCTACTCGCTGCTGATTTATTGTAGCACCCAGTCACTCCCCTCCATCGTGGGTGCTGAGTAGCAAGAGATGCTGGTATGAATAAATTATGAACCTGACTCACTCCTTGACTCCCCTCCTCCTCTGTTTCCATCCTCTGCTCACGTAGCTATGTGGGAGGCCACAGACCCAGCAAGATCATGCGCTTTGTGGACAAGATAGCCAAGTCAAAGTACTTCCAGAAAGCCACAGAGACTGAGTTCATTAAGAAGAAGATGGAGGAGGTTTCCAACACACCCCTGCTGCTCACAGTGGAGGTGCAGGAGTGCCGCGGGACGCTGGCTGTCAACATCCCACCTCCCCCCACGGACAGGATATGGTACGTTCAGGAGGACTGCACAAACTGTAGGATGTGGTCAGTGACTGTAAGGGAGTCCTGGCTTCAGCGCGTCACGCTGCGCCCTCTGCTGGCCAAACACAGACGTGCACGTCGTGACAGGATTTAAAATGTTTAATCACTTGTGAACTAAATATAGATAACTTCTAAGAAATGAGGCCACAAAAGTATGTTTTTCAAGTGAGATATGGAACATTTAAACCTTAATTACATAATGATGAACATCTTAATGATACTAACAGTCAACATGTGCAGCGGCACTTCCCAGATTAGGAGCCAAAGAATAAAGAATATGAAGTAAAGATATGATTCTGTTACAGATAAAATATATTTTTCGGATTGTCTCTGCTTTTTGTGGGATTTTTTCTTAAAATACTCCATACTGTTACCTCTAAGTGCCACTAAAAGTCCTTCAAATGAAACAGTCCTAGAAGGAAAGCCCATTTTAAAGGATCACAAGCCAAAAAGGCTTCAACTTCAGGGTCAACATGATCTTGATTTGTGTTGCATGTTTCCTCAGCAACATGTGTTCTGTTATAAAATGCATTGAATTTAAAGAGCTTTATGGGCTCCTTCTGTGTCTTTTAGTTTTTTATGCATGCAGAAGGTAACTCTCAAAGCCTGAACTACATGCTAAAGGGAGTTATCTGTCTTCCTTACCTGCATAAAACACCTCATTTACATCCAGGCTTTTCTTCCATTGCTTATGTCAGTGTGTGGCAGACTTGCATAACGCCTGCCTAGGAACAAAAAATGACCATCTTAGCAATCTGCAAGTATTTCTCTGCCGGAAAATAATTTGCGGTGCTAAAACGGTGGATTTCAGACATGGTGAGAAAAAATGCTGCAGCGATACACAGTATGAGCAACACAAAGTGTGTTTGATCATGAAGGCATGTGAACATGTCCTCGTAGACTCCTGCAATACAGATATAAACCTGTACATGTGCATAATATGGCCTGGACCACGTGTCCTGTGTTTGTGAAGTCTGTTCAGGGACATAACTGCATTTCAGCTTGTTTAAAACGGCATAAACATGACCACGAATGTTTCCTCTTGGCTGTCAGGTATGGTTTCCGGAGTCCCCCTCACCTGGAGCTGAAAGCGAGGCCTAAACTGGGTGAGAGGGAGGTCACACTAGGTCATGTGACGGAGTGGATCGAGAAGAAACTGGATCAGGAGTTCCAGGTACACGCTGAGTAAAGCAGGATGTTTAGTTGGTAGGTGGTGAAGGGCTCAGGTATCACGACTGAGAGGCTGAAAGTTTGTTCAGTAAGGACAAAGAGAAAGCCTCCCAGATGTTTGGGGTGAGAATTTAGGTTATAAAGAGGACTCTGAGATGAATTTATGGCTGCCCACCTACATGCTCTTCAAAGCAGAGTGCCCGTGGCATCCCCACCTCGCTTATACAGCCACACTAATGACACGCCTGCTGCTGGATAAGCACACCTGCACACTGCTGCAGCCCAGCGTCGCTGTCAGCTCCACCGCATGTCTACATTTATCTCTGCCCAACTCCTCTGGGGGTGTAATTATGTCCCACCGCCCCTCCACCGTGCCTCTAGTAAAATATAGAGCTGCAGTGCACACTGTTGTCAGTTGTGAGTGAGTGTAAACATCTGGCTTTCAACAAAAGCCCAACTCAGGCCTCACTGGGCTCCAGCCGGTCCATCCAGGGTCGGCTGCTCAGGGGGGGTTTCAGGTCTTTGTTGCTTATTTAGACACAATTTCGTACCATTTTCTCATATTTCACTCTTTCGTTGTTGAAATGACTTTGCGTCTTACTCTGCTTGCCGTCCCACAGAAAATATTTGTGATGCCAAACATGGATGACGTATGGCTACCCATAATGCACTCTGCCATGGACACACGTTCAAATGCCAACTTGATTACTGTGACAAACGATGCCTTGAAGGATCCAGAACCGGAACCGGACCCCGAGGTCTCGGACATGTGAAGACTGCTGGTCAGAGTGTACATGGACGGACATGTTATCACCGTGACGATGTCACGAGTCCCCGCCCCCACTCAGAAGGCGCCGGTGCAGCAGTGGGATCGGCTCGGTCCGATGTTTTTACCCACAGTCCGGTCCCACTGTCGCACCAGTCACGGAGCGCAAAACTGTCAAAACGTCCTGGTGAGAAGCGAGAGACTGGACGAGAACAGTGACTCACAGATTGTCATCCAATCACACGGTTTTATTTGTGTGACATCAAATGTTTTGATTCTCTGACGAAATCCAATTCATGGGCGGCGGATCGACCAATAGCCATCTGATTCCACCAGAAGAACCATAATACCTGTGATGTACAGCTGCACCAAACGTGATGGTTGTACAGTGTAAAACTCTTTGTGTGACGTTTCTAATCGAGTGCTGCTGCGAGGCCACCAAGACGAGTGTGTGACCCTGAACGGGTGAACAGTTGAGGGAATAATGCTGAAATTAGGTGATGGTTTTGCTTAAAGCCCCAGTGATTCTTAATACACATTTCACAGGGATACCGACACCCATTTCTGAACCATACACACTGCTGCCTGTGCCAGCTGCCTGGCACCTTTATGCAAACCAACCAATGGCACAGTGTCCGTAGAGACACTGGGTTTGTTTTAAATCACAACGGACGCCATCATATCATACAGCCTGTGTGCTTTTAACTGTGTGGTGGGGATGAGGGGAGCTTCAGAGGGGTTCTGAGAGTTAAAATCCATCTGCAAACACAGCAGCTGAACATTGCCCAGGTCTGTTGAATGTATAAATAGGAATGCAGCTCCTTAGCTGTGCGAGGAAAAGCTCATTCACTGACAACGTGCTTCTAAGCGACATGTTTCAAGCGCTCTTTTCGTGTTATATTCAGAGTTGAGCAAAAGTAATAATTTTTCTATTTTTATTGCCAAAGCAATCTTTCGGTTTTTAAAGGGGAACTGTGTGAGGTGATGAATAAGCAATCGGTTAATAGTTGTGCTTCAGTGACGTACAGCCAATGTTTTATTGCTGGAAATTCAGAAGACGTCTGCAGGGAGAGATTCTTCTGGGCAGCAGGAGGCCAAAACTTTCACGACCACAGTAACGGATCTGTAGCGGGGAAACCTGCTCTTTGAATAAACAGCATACCGGATATTAGCCATATTATTTAATGTTGTCAGCAGACATCCAGCTAATGAATGCTCTATTTTTGTTGAATTATTTATTGATTTGCTGTTCTGTGTTGTACACATGAAAGAGGAAAACAGGAGCAGGATGTCTGTACTCTGCCCAGCTTTACAGGTGACTTTTACTTTACGTGTTTTCTGTTCAGACATGTGTGTTGGCAAGTGTATGAGGCATAAAGTGCCTTTAAAATAATCAAACATTCCTCCATTGTGAGCCACCACATTTCTTGCATCAGTTGAGGAAAGGGAGAAAACTTTGTCTTTGTGCCATTACTGTGTCTGTGGAGACAGGCCCGTTTTGTTTTCCACGTTTCGGTGTTGTTCATTTGCACAGTGATGAAAAATATCAAACATTGCTGTTGTGTTCAGTGATGTTGCAGAATGTTCTGGTTCTGATCATTGTGGATCAATAAAACCTTTTGCTTGGACAGAATGTGTTCAGCTTTGTTCTTGGTTGTAACGAGGCTGTCACTGGAAGGCGTCCATCCATCCACTCAGATGTCATTACACGGTTTTAAATAATCGTATTTAGGGAAGCAGCAGTTAGTTTATCAACTAATGTGCAGATTAATTAGTCTGTAAAAGGTGAGAACATACTTTAAAATGTCTTTTTCTTCCAAGCTGATGTCATAAAATGCCTTGTTTTCTCTTGCAGTCCAAAATCTAAAGGAACTCAAAGTACACTGATTTAAAGGAAAGAAAAACAGCATTTTCTCTAATTTAAAGGAAGGTTCTGTGATCCAACTGTCAAAATCTGAGAATCTTGTAATTGTTGCATCTCTCGTGTTAAATATAACAATAAGCTGCTATCTGGTTCATCATCAGAAAGACTAATTAGATGATAAACCACCATAACAGTGTCCCAGGAGGACGACGGGCCTCCACAGACGACCAGAACCGCTGCACTGGACCTCCGTGCTGATTCTCAAGAGTTTCTGGAACTCTATTAAAGAGATTTAGCGCCGTTCTTCCAACACATATTCCCTCCTTTTGTGTTTTTAAAATCTGACTTGAGTTTTAAACTCATCACAGCATTCAGTGACCTTCACCTTGTACCTGCATGTGGACACATCCTCTCTTTTGGTAGCGACATGTAGACGTTTAACACAGCGTGGATGAACATGGACAACCTCACAGCAACACCATACACTCATTTTAAATCTTAGATCCTTTTCCACCTGAAGTAACTGTCAGCAATCTGATCTGGGTTTAGATTCTGTGCCTTGCCTTAAAAGAGAGACTTGGTGGGAAAAGCCAAGAAACCCCAGTTATAACAAGGCCACGTGATCTAGCACCACTCTTGACCAGTGAACGGCCACGGAACAGGCTGCTCGGGGTCAAACAGTGCCCGAAACATTTTACCAACACAGTAACAGGTAGTGGAAATGAGTGAAGGACAACATTTAGGTTTGAAGGTTAAAGCTTTATTGAACAATAAACAGAGAATCATTAGAGTGGTGGGGTCACCTCCTGCTTCAGCCGTCTGATCCCTAAAAAGAAGAAAACAACTTGAATGAGCTCAGCTGTTCAAAACCTGCACTTAAAGATTGATCACTTGGGTCGTGTCAGATCTGTTTGGTCTTCAGTATTTCTCAGAAGTCTAACGCATCATGATCATCATTCACAACCCTGAAAAGTCTCAAACAAATACTTACTGTGCTCTTATTGAGGAGATCCAGAGTCCAGCTCCTGAATGAAAATCACAAATGATCTGAATGAGTTACTGAACCAGGCCCAGCAGCCTGCAGGGACTGCTGGGTCAAATCAGACTTAATGGTGACTTCATTTTGACATCAGAAGTCTAACGCACGAAAAATCATCATGAATGAACCAGACGAAGAGAATAAAACATATTTATAGAGAAAAACTCACCATAAGGAAGTCCTGCTTCATCCGGGAGCCACGTGGACGTGCAGTCACTCCATCTCCTGAATCAGAAGCTTCATGGAAAGAACTAAATAATGCCTTAAAGAGAGGGAACGTCATTTAAATGTGACTTTGAAGGAAACGGTTTAAAATCTTACCTTCATGTATTTTCTCCTCTTCACGGCCTGGTCGCGCTGCTCGGAACAAAAGCACGATCCGGTCCCGTATAGTAGTAACAATAATAACAATAATAATAATAATAATAATAATAATAATAATAAACTATAAATACGCATGCAATTAACTTTACCAACATATCCGATGCTAACCCTGGGAGGCTGGCAGCCATGGCCGTAGGAAGCATGCTTTCACAGTGTGGACCTGTGCAGAAAATGTCCCCCGGATCTGTTTTATAGCACATCCGTTTCCGTGGGTCTGTCCTCATTGGTTCACGGGGACTCCAGCGTCTCCCCTCCTCCACTCGCGTGGATATCTGTCCCGAGGTCCGGCCCCCACGGAGCTCATTCCAGGAAGAACGTTCGCTCCGCCGCTGCTCAACGCCTTCGATGCTACAACGCAGCTAATCAAAAACCCGTTAAATCCTAAGGTCTCGTTTGAAAACCACGTTTTCTATGTAGCCAACGGTTCTCCGGGACCAACCAGCCGTCTATCCCGGTTTGAGACCCCCGAACATGGACTGGACAGTGAGCAGTCGGGCCCTGGTGTGGTGCATTTTAGTGCTGCTGGGCTGCGCTGGGCTCCCACAAAAGGTAAGCAGGCTAACTGGATAAGCTAGCTTAACTTGGATAACACTAGCTTGGAGCTAGCTGCTCAGCTACACGTTTAACTGGGCATAAGCTCGTTTTTTTCTGCCGTAACTCCCCCAAATATCACCAGTCCGAGTCCAAATGTTTGCAGTTCAATGAAGGCTGAAGTGTGTGTGTTTGTCTTCACATGACAGAGGGAAGCTAACACAAGCTAGCAGGCTAAAAGCATTCGTTTTTTACTTTCTGCTCACATTGATGTTCAGTTTATTCAGTCTAGTGTCACAAATCAGAGAAACCCACATGTTTTAGGGCATGAAGCTTTAGTGTTTTCAGAAGTTTGGAGAGACTGCTGTGTGTCTGTGAACGTTGTGTGTTTGTGTCAGATTGAGCACATCAGTGGGTTTTAGAAAAGCATCGTTAAAGCTGCTGTTGAAGGCAGGACAGCAGGGAGATGGGCTGCAATGTTCACTCAACGGTTTGTACGCAAACCCTTCATCAGCTGTCATATCAGTCATTTTAAGATGTGCAAACCAATGTGATAAGTTGGTGAAGTGATTTAGTTCTGTGGACATAAACACCCTGCAAAGACCAGGTACATCAACACTAAAGCAAGCCTAAGTTCCTTCTAGTGAGGCAAAGTTTAAAGGATGATTCATGCCAGAATAACTTTTGTTTTATCTCTGAAACTTTGTGAAGTCAGCAGGACAGGCTGTAATTTCAGAAGCTCCACACCAAAGCATTGCCACTCAGGATGATTCTGTGTGATCAGGTCGAGCACACGGTTTGAGGCAGACCAGTGCAAAACCATCGCTCAGACCTCTGCAGCGCTGCATGTCAACATGTGGTGTGATATACAGCAGCCAACAGCATGAGAGGGGAGTACAATGTAAATAGAATAGCCATGTGTTATAACCTGGTTTAATGTTTTAGAAGAGTAAACTATGAGACTGAGCCAGATTCCTAGAAAGGTTTGAAATGGACACCGTTCAATACCGAGTCAGTGAACCACTCGGGCTGAGCAGCAGATTAAAGCAGCCTTATAATCCCCTATCATGTCTCAGGTTCCTCTCTCACCCCGTTAGTGTGCTGGTGTCGTGATGGTGACAAATCATCGGCTAACTATAGATGGTGAGATAAGTGTGTGAGAGGCAGGCACACACTGAGTATCGACAGCCCAATAATGAGAAAACGCTGGTTGTGTTTGTAGGTGAAGAAGTGGATAGGTCAGCTGATTTTCTACTGGAGGCAGGATGTGTCTGACAAAAAAACCTTTTATTTGTTTTTAGACGCTTCTTATATTTCACCCATGCATCACTTCACAGGTCTGCAGGGCGTTCATAAAACAATTAATATTCCTCTTAATGAGATTACGGCGTGTCCTCAGGTGGAGCTCTTCCTCATTGCTTTCTTTATTTCATGAATTCAGATTTGCTGAGGAAAAACAAGAATGTGCGATCGTACGCTATCTTATCACCACGGTAGATTGGCTGTGCTTTGACTGAGTGTGTGACACGTGACCTCCCCTCTGAAGCAACGCCGTGGCTCACACACACTGTGTTGACCAGAAAAGCTGCTGATTGTTTCTGTGTGATCTTTACTGTACTCAGTCATCTCCACATGGCATAGTTCCTAATTTATCTTCCACCAAAACATCCTCATTGTAACACAGCCTGGAAGCAAAAACCTGTAAAAATGGCTTCTATATTAGACTGTAAGACTTAAGGATTATTAGGGACTTCTTATTTAACGTAGTTTTGCTGACAGTGCTCTACACTTCCCATGACTAGTAACCAGATGTGTGATAAGCTTTTTTCCTGTGTCGGTGTTTGCATGCACTCAGGCGAGCTGCAAAAAGACTGTTTACTGCTGCAGACGAGCTGGTGGTTTGACTGGGAGAGCGTTTCACTCCTCAACTGATTAAGGGCTTAATTTGTTGGAGAGTTCTTTTGAAAAGACATCTTTTTGTAATAATCTCCCCCAGGTATTCATTTTTGTCTCCGTCTGTCAGACTGTGGTGATTTCCAGTTTCCAAAACAAGTCATAGATGAAATGTTTCCTCTGTTGTAATCAGTAAAATGATTTATGTTTTACAAAAGAAGCCAGTGCTCTCCAGTACGTCTTCCAGCCGTGTTGTTTTAAGTCAGACTCGGTTCGTCAAGCCGTTAATACTTATTTTGTGCTGCTACTAATTAACGTTCTGTTATATATATTTAATTTGTCAATCTGGTTTTACAGTCACACAATAGCCTGAAACGCCTAAATGAAAGCACTTCACACACACCCAGTGAGCACATAGGAGCTGCCGATGATGCTAGTCACCGTGGTGCAGCTACACACTGGTGGATCCCGTTGTTCTAAACGATGAAGTAAATAATCTAAAAGCCTGTTTTCAGCCAGGAAGCAGCTCGTCTAAACTCATGAACCGCTGAGTGGTGCTCATTTGTTGCCTCGTGTAATATCTGCTCTGTTTTTGCATGACTTTTACCGTCACTAATGCAGGGCGGTGAATGATTAGAGCACCTCTACCTTTTAGTGTTTCTCTGCTCCCTCACCTCCGCCTCCACCTTGTCAGTCTTCCTAGAAAGCAGCCCTGACTCTGTTTTCAGGGCTAAATACTGAGACAAGTGACTCTGCTTCCTCTCCCATCTGTCGGTTGGTGATGCACTGCTTCAACATCTTGTGAACCACATATCAGAACAAGCGACGAAGGTATTAGGATGCAGCTGTACGACTGCAGTGTTTGTTTGTACGCGGTGGGAAGCTGCCAGTTACAGTCGGCTCTGTGTTCAGGCTGGTGTGCCAAGCAACAGGCTGCTGCTGCCGGTGATCTGCATTGTAGTCCATGTGCCTTTAAGACATGTCTGGCCTCATTGCAGAAGGAAAAGAAGATCTCAGGACTTGCCAAGAGTTTGGTTTCGCCCAGTTCTGTATTATTATGTAACCGTCTTACGCAATAGCTTCACATTTCAGTGTTACACAGAATAAGGAAATGAGAGGGAATGCCCCGATATTTTAGTCTGAACCCAAAGAAAGCTTGAAACTCACATCCTCTGAGCAACCAAGCATGTCTCTGAAGCCTTTTGTAATAATCAGATTCACCATTTCTTATCCGTCCAAACCAAGGAGGCTAACAGATGTTTGGAAGGTTATTTGTTTGCAAAACCCAGAGCCTTGGTTACGGGGGGCCCGAGAACAGAGGGGTTCTGATCCTCCAGTGCCGTTGTGTGATGCTGGTGAGTTTGCAGCGCAGTGGGAGCAGCCACAGGTGCACAGTATTGACACAGACGCTTGTATAGGATGTGTGCTACCACAGCAGGGGATCTTTAGGGACCAGTTTCTTTCTGTAGATGGTGTGAAACTTTCAGAGGTTGGTGCTGGTTTCTGTTGGGCCAGGTAAAGCTGAACAACTACAGAAGTGAGTAGCTTTTTAACATGACCAACCTGGACCGTGTTGTGCTAGTTTTTGACACGAGTTTGATGGAAATACAAGCTGTGTGACCAGACGGGACATCCTGAGTGACTGTCTGACTTGTTGGCTCTGGTGGTTTGTTTGAGTCTGGCTTAGAAGCACTTCCATCCTCCAAGCTCTACTTATCTCTGCTCAAACATGGATAAATGCTCAGCAGAGTGTGCTAGAATTTTAAATTGGTAAGCTGCATTATATGTAGGGGCTATTTCCACTGCCACGAGGGACGCGTGTTGGGGTATTAGTTGGTGAAGCTGATCAATGCTGCAGTGGTTCAGCAGGACAATGAGGTCTGTCTCAGCTGCTCAGGGTTTTCAAGACTTCTGTGGTGAAGACAGGTGCAGTGACATTCCCAGGTTAGCACAAGGTGCTGATAAGTAGGCCTCAGAAACAAAGATGAATCATGCTTATAATGGAAATGCATCTATAAAAACACTAGTTATTGAGAAAGAGCAGCCGAAACAGAGTAGACTGACTGCTCAGGCAGATTTAGGGCAGTTGTCTGTGCAGTCAGACACCCTCACTGGACCTCCTCCTGCACACCGGAGCCAAAAGCCACAAGATGCCCATGGCTTGGTTATCAAGAGCAGCGTTTTTATCGTTCCTCAGTGGCTGGCTGGAGCACACGTCGCCCACATCGCTGTTAATTCTGGCTCTAGCGAAGTCATGACGCAGGATCTCTTGCTGCTCTCGTGGCCATACGTTCAGCTCTTTACACTGCGTTTGGTTTAGTTTCTCTGCAAGAGGAAGATGAGTGCATTGCCTCTTTGCAGCGTGTACTGTCTGCTCATGCACGCTGCCCGTCCAAGTGTTCCCGTGTTTGTTCTAGTCGTCCGTATTTCTGAGTAGGAGTAAAGAAGGTTGCCCATATGGCCCGGCGGCCCACTGTTCGTCTGTGCAGAGGGAAGTTGAAGCACTCTTTGTCCATTGCGAAACCAAAGTAAAAAGCTCATAATGCATGCTGGTTGGTCGACGTGCGTTTGTCCCACGCCATTAAGAGCACGCCAACCCTCCGACCTCCGCTTGCATCTCCTCAGATGTGGCTCAGCGCTCAGATGAGGCTGTTTATTGGGTGATTGGACCGTGATGCTGATCAATACGGCAGAGGCTCAGCGGCTCGGGGTGTTTCAGACTGACATTCACATGCTTTATTCAGTCATGACGATGATGAACCGCTGGTCTCAGTTGATGTTTTTTTTACTTTGTGGTTCATATACTGGCATTTGTGTTCATTGTTTTCTTATTGATATGCTAGAATTGAACAGTCTTAGCTGTAAGAACTGTAGCAAGGGACTGTTAAATATTCACATCTTCCATAACAGAAATGTTGTTCTGTTCATTTATGTTTCCTCTGCGTATAAAAACTCGTGAAGGTGAAGTGCACACATGCTCGGCCTCGTGCCCAGTTTGTTGCTCCATGTTGAAACCCTTGGCTGTTGCTTCAGACCCTCTGAGAGCTCTTCCCGAACCTTCCCCCGGTCCCCCAGTCTGTCAGCCTGGTCTGTCAGGTATTGATTTGAAATTAATTGATTTGTCAAGCAGCCCGAGGTGGCACACTTCCTGTAGAACCAGCAAACACAAGCCCGTCTGCACCAGGTGATGATGGAAGCGATGCTCTCTGTTACGAGCAGCCACATTAGCTGTGTTTCTGTGGGAACAATTTCAACATTTAATCATATTTGCTGCGGGTGTGTCTGGTTTAAAGTAACGCCCCAGTAACTAGCAGTTTATTCACGGCCTTTAATGTACATGTTCTGACCTAAATAGAGCTGATTCCTGCTCACACACGTCTGCTTGCTAATGTGTGATTCCAACCATTTTGATTTGCACAAATTCTACATAACTGAACACAGACCTGTTGTTTACGTCTCCTTGTCCTCGTTTTATTGTTTCTGTAGGGCTTTTGCAGCACAGTTTCCCTGACTGAAAGCCTGCTCTTTGTGTCCACCTTGGATGGAAACCTGCACGCTGTTAGCAAGAAGTCCGGCTCTATCAAATGGACTTTGAAAGAAGGTAAGAGGAGAGCAGCAGAGCTGAGTGCAAGTTTTTGTTTTTCGGCCTTTTTTCTGAAGGCGCAGTTCCTTATTCAGGTTGCAAAAGTGAAGTGTTATGTTTCCCGCTGCCAACAGGAAAACAGTGAGATGCTGCTACCCACGTGGTGCCTTTAACTTGTTGTTTGCAGTGTTTATTTCTGTCATCGGGGGTTTAATAGAGCACAACAATAAGAACTCAGCTCAGGCCTCGGGTGAAGCTGCATACATGCGTGTGACAGATACGATATCAAGACTGTTCTGCTGTTTGTTTGTTTGTTTTTTTTTTAAACCTTATTGAGTGTCTTAATTTACAAGTACTCTGTGAGTCTCCTGAAGAAGAGGGTGTCCACACTGCCAAAACCTGAACCCAGGGATTCAGTTGTCCTCTTATCAAAGTCATAAATAGTTTCTAATACTGATGTTTATTTACACCAGCAGAGCCTGTGATCGTGGTAATAAAACAGGCTGATATTTTCAATCACAACTAGTTGAAAATCAGCTGTTTGTCTGATTTACTTTGTCCAAAAAAGACTGTTGGGTTGTACGAAAGGCTTTCTAGGATTTAATCTCGTGTTAAGGCCGTACTTACAGAGAACACCATGAGAAGGTCTGTTAGGCATGAAAACTGGGCAATTATTAACTGAGAGAGGGGCAAATATAGCCTGTAATCAAGGTCAGAGTGGGCCAGGGTAAGCAACTTTGCTGTAGTATCACCTGCACACGCAGCATGTGCTATGGTAACCGTGTTAATGTCGGCGCTCTACGCTCAGGAGTCACGTTAGATAAGATAAACTTAGAGATTGTTGGGGGAAAGCTGAAGTAAACTTGGCAAGGCTTTTCCTGTTTTTGAAGTACATTCTTTAATATTTATCCAACATGTTTAAGAATCTCAAGACTTTATGAGATGGAGAAACTGAAAGGATGTGGGCCTGGACCGGTCCAGCACAACACCCGAATCATTAATAATCTGAGGCAGAGGCTGCCTCCTCCGCATCATCTGTTTTCCTGGAGCAGCTACTGAATATGAATTTGACCAGTGTCGTACCAGCTTCGCACACACCTGCTGTTGTGCTGCAGTCAGTCGGCCGAACACCCACATGATGAGGGGGAAGCAGGAACCTTTTACCTGGACAAAGGCTGTGCACTTCAGCCCACGTGCACGTCCTCTCATTGTGTGCCTGTCAGTCCCCGTTGGCTCTGCAGAACTGTGTTTGTATTTTCAGACAGCCAGGCAGGACATCCTCACATGCAGCGTAGAAAGCCATTGTCTTCTCAAACACCTCTGCGGTTGTGTTGAATGAGTGCTAAGGCTGTTTGAACACAACAGTTATTTACTACCGCAGATAATCCTACACCTGCCCTCTGCCATTGTTGACCCCTTGGGCCACCTCGGTGGAGATCAGCTCCATCTGGTCCACACCCTGTATGTTCACATGGTCGGGAGGTGTGTGTTTGTCTTGGACCAACGGAGGCTTTGGCTGCACGTTTTGGCATTTGGCTTGAAATCACACAGTGATTTATCTTCCTCTGTGTTAAAGAGCCACGCCGGTCCTTCAATCTTCTCCCTAGTGACTGACCAGGCTAGCATTTATATTTTTGATTGGAATTTTTTTCCAGTTATTTATTATTCAATCCGTAGATCATAAAAAGCAGCGACTGTAAATTTGACACAGAAGCAGATGTAGTGTTTCTTAAGCAAACTTCCAGCCTTTAAAGTTTATTTTCATGTGAATAGGCGCCCAGAGGGTAGGCCGAGTTGTTGTGTCACTTGGAATAGAGTAGGCACTTGCACTGATTATAAGATGTACAAAGCTTGTGCTAAATGGGCTTAAACATGCAAAGACATGACTGATGTGGTTTGGAGGAAACCTGCCAACATAGTCAGAAATATTGGGATTATTATGCTTAAATACAGAGCAAAAATCTTACAACTGAACCAGGATGACATTAGTATCTGCTTTCTAGAGTAAAGTTCCAGTCAGATTTGGTGTCATGGCCAGGTTTAAGGATTACAATACTTTCTAGAGGAAACGGTCCGCTCCGATCTCATGAAACCATCCGTCCGTTCCCATCATCACATGTTTGATTTATTCACAGAGCACTGTTTGCTGACATGACTGTTTGCCTTTCATGTTTGCCACGAGGGAATCCATGTTCATTTGGACTTTGTGTCCTCTGCGGCTGAGTGTCACCAGTGTTCGTGTTCTTACTCAACACCTCCTGGCCTAATGGTTTCCATTGTTCACTAATATTGTCGTCGGTCCTGACTGGCATCTCGTCTCCTCTTCCTTTCTCACAGATCCGGTTCTTCAGGTTCCCACGCATGTAGCAGAGTACGTATCTGAGTTATTTTTCACTCAGGTGTAATACATACACCTGTGTTTAACAAAAGATGGTGAATGCTAACGATTCTGGTAACCAGTCGAGCTCGTCTTATCTGTCACTCAAACTAATTCCTCACATAATCTGCTTTTACTCGCGCTGAGCCGTGAACTCGGTCTATTCTGTCCACCAGGCCGGCTTTCCTGCCCGACCCCAACGATGGCAGCCTGTACGCTCTGGGAGGGAAGAACAACGAAGGCCTCACAGTAAGAGGAAATAACTTTATCACAAATTACAGTCTCCCCTCTTTTAGTCAGAAACGCTTTTCAGTTCCCTGTTCTATAGATAAACAGTTAATGCACACTCATGCTCAAGTTGCAGCTGTGTTGGTGCAATCAATCTGTTCCTGTTTATTATCATAGAACATATGGAAATAAATGTTTATCTGATGGTCCTTCATTCATTTTGCTCAAACAGAAGTTACCATTCACCATCCCTGAGTTGGTCCAAGCGTCTCCCTGTCGCAGTTCTGATGGCATCCTGTACACGGGTAAGAAGAGTTCATTCACAGAAAATCATCTCATGCCTTGTCATTAAGCACACGGTCCTGTGTTAAACGCTGACATTTAAACGGTTTGATAGTGAGGATGAACTATGTTTCCTAATCCGTTTGCAGTCCATGCCGTGGTGTTATCTGGCTCACTGTGTTAGCGCCGCCCGCCGTAGCCTCTGCTCTTTTGAATTTACAAGAGTCGGTGCAGGAGGGCAGCTCTACCATGGTGACGATGTGTCATTGTTTAAAGAGAAGCGGGTGACATTTGCCTCCCTGCGGTCATTATCTGTGAGGCTTTTGTTTTCATTCAGCCTGAAGCTGCTGCCGGCTCAAAGCGTGCCGGAGATGCAAAGCGCTGCCGGCTTCACGTCGTCACTCTTTAAATCTCTTCGTGTGCAAAATGTTTGACAAATAAAGTTGCAGGACCAGTCAAGAAAATGAGGGTTTTTGTATTCATCTGTAATGATCAGTGATTAGGTTATTACTTCCACACCCTGTGTTGTTAAAACGTGAGTACAAAGAGGCCATGGGCCGCTCCTTCAGTCACAGAGCGGTGACACCCATCAGCATTAAGGAGAAACGGCAGCGTGTTATTCCGATTCACTGAGCTTGTGCAAATCGTTTGGTCAATTTGACATTTTGCTTTGACTGGGGAGTGTTTTGAACCGTCTCTCATTAGACCTTCTGTTTCAGGTAAAGAACTGTGTAAGAAATAAACGGAGAGAAACCTCCAGAGGAACAGCAGCCTGTCAGACGTGCAGCAGTCGAATTACGATATGTAGAAATGGGTTAGCGATATTAAGTAGATAGAGAACAAAGCATACTATGAGATGTAGCAAGAGTTTGCATAAGAGGAAGGGCCATTTAATGCTGTAATCATAGCAAAGCTAACCTGTGTTGGTCCTTCCATACAGGTAAGAAGCAGGACTTGTGGTACGTGGTGGACCTGTTGACCGGCGAGAAGAAGCAGACTCTGACCTCGTCTCATGCCGAGATGCGCTGTCCCGCCTCGTCTCTTCTTTATCTGGGACGCACAGGTAAAAAAACCACAGAAACCAGCAGCTCAGCTGTTTTCCCTTTGTGCCCGTGTTATTGTCCCGGCGGCCCAGTCCATTCAGCTGTTGGTTTAAGTTGGCTAACCAGCAAGCTTATTTGTCTGCATGCCTTAACCACAGACTGTTGGCAAACTATAATTTACCTCCCACTCGTTTCTCCTGCTAAGTCATCTAATCTCTAACCTCGTCTCAACAACAGCAACAGTCCTCAGTTGGTCCCTGTGGACTTTCTGGACTTGGGGAATGGTAATTGTAGACAAGGACCTTTTAAGAAAAAAAAAGAGAGAGAGAGCTCTGCAAACTGAATACTTATAACTGGGTGTCAGAGCAAAGGTCTTTTGTGAATCCTACTTTTTGTTGCAAAGGAAATTCAACACCATTTGGTTTGCACTTAGACCAGAAATGGATATCCAATACCTGACTTTTGTGCAGGTTGCATAAGCATTCTAATATTCCCCCCTGTGTAGAATACACCATCACCATGTACGACACCAAGAACAGAGAGCTGCGCTGGAACGCCACCTACTCAGACTACGCCTCCACCCTTCCTGATGAGGACACCAAATACAGTAAGGTTCTCGGACAAGCTGCCTCCCTCGTAGCCGAAGTTTCTGACAGGCACGGCCGGTCACCTTTCTGCTCTCTGGTCGTCCACAGAAATGGCTCACTTTGTGTCCAACGGCGACGGCCTGGTGGTGACGGTGGACAGCGAGTCCGGAGACGTCCAGTGGGTCCAGAACTACAACTCCCCGGTGGTGGCCATGTACATCTGGCAGCGCGAGGGCCTCCGCAAAGTTCCTCACACTAACGTGGCCGTGGAAACCCTGCGTTACCTCACTTTCATGTCTGGAGAGGTTGGCCGCATCACTCAGTGGAAATACCCATTTCCTAAGGAGAAGAAGCCCAAGAATAAATTCATGTAATTATTATTTTGTGTGCTTTGCTTCCTGAGTGGATGCTGCGAGCTGCTACCCTGCAACTGTTGGAACTGTTTCCTCTTTGAGTTGCCAGCCAAGCTTTTGAAAATAGGTTTATTCAGTTTCAGAGAACAAATATTGCCCAAGAGTTTTCCTGAACGTGTTGAAGCATTTTGCGCCTGTGATTCATGGGAGCTTGAAACACTGAAGGGGTGAAATCAGAATATACTTTTATTTATGTAAGATTGTTTTGTGTTGGGATGGAGTCTGGACATGTAATACCCAGTGAGCGGCTGCCTAAGGGCCCGCTTTCAGCTCCGCTTTCACACCGTTTCTTTCAATACACTGTGTCTGCACCTGCATCGGCTGAAAAACACAACCAGGACTTTCAGTACTTGGTCCTTTATGAAAGTATCGCCTGTTCAGTGACGTCTGAAAGTTGTTGTTTTTTTTATATTTGTAATGGTTTATACCCTCCTGTTGTTGCACTCGTACACGTGTTGGCATGAAGCGGTAATTTGCAGTTGAATAACAGTTTATGTGGCTGTGCTTGTTGTTTTTCAGGGCCACCTTGTATGTGGGTAAATACTCCACCAGTCTGTATGCGTCTCCCTCGCTGGTGCACGATGGAGTGACTGTGGTGGTGAGCACTGTTTGCATGGATATCTTAATCAAAAACGTGGTAGTTACTGCTGAGACGTGGACTTAAAGCAGCTTTAAACTGTAGAGTCAGTTGTCTCCAGCAGTTTATCTCCTCGTCTCAAACAGTCTTGGTGTTTTTTTTAGTGAGTGGTTTTCAGGTATGCGTACATCCTGTTCCTGTTCAGGTCACTTTGCCTTACCAGCTCCCTGACGTAGTAGTTTACTGTTATTGGAGATTTTTTTCTCTGATGAATTAAGCGGACTTCCTTGTGTGCGTTTGTAGCCTCGTGGCAGCACCTTCCCCATGCTGGAGGGTCCTGACAGCCAGGAGACGGACGAGGACAAGGAGTGTGTCATCACACCCAGCACCAGCGTCAAGTTCAACGCTGCGCTGCACGAGAGAAACCGGATCAACTTCATGAGGAACTACCTGCTTCTCATAGGTGCTAAACCAGTACACAGAACAAACAGTAGATCTGACTGAGCACCTTGTTCTCTTTTGTTTTCTAACCTGACACACTGACAGAGGAGGTTTCAGGCCTGATGTTTGTGCACCGAGGTTTGACATCAGGAAACACTTTGAAATGGTTGTTTTTGTGGAGAGGTTTCACTGTCGACACCCTTCACCACATTTTAAACTCAGGACCTTGAAGGCGTTGCTGTGCTGTTGGTGAACAAGTTGTAGTGAGACTGCCCTCGTGTGGATATTCTGAGTAACGATGTCTAGGTTTTCTATTCAAACAAGGGACTGTAAATGCCTAAAATGTCCACAAGGCTGCTGCTGCTGATTATGATGAGTACTAAAAAGTTCCTTCCTGCATTTCAGGTCATCACGAGACGCCTCCTGAAGCTCACACCAAGATTCTGGAGAAGTTCCCCGACAGCTTCCCTCGCAACCCAGGCAACGTCATCCCACCGACGACTGACAAGAAAGTAGAGGAGGTCCGTAGGAGCCACTACTTTTTGTTTTTTAGGTGTATACTGAAGCAACTGTGTAGATTTGTTCTTCCTCGTCCTCATTGTGGTCCCTTCGTCTCCATTTGGTAGAAGGCCAATGACAGCGGTATGGATGACGGCCCACCTTCACCTCTGCCGGACACGTCCATCCAAGAACCCGGGACCGGCGGGCGCATTGTGCGTCCAGAGGCACCTGTGGACTCGATGCTCAAAGACATGGCCACCATCATCTTCTCCACCTTCCTGCTGGCTGGCTGGGTGGCCTTTGTGATCACCTACCCCAAAGTAAGTCACAAAAAAAAGGATGAGCGCCTTGTGTTTAGAAAAAAGTGGTGGAAACATGAGTTCATGTACAGAAACGCTGGCAGCACCAAGTTTTCAGAGCAAAATGGCCCTTAAAGGACCCATTCAGTGATGTAGCAGTGTGTGATTAGTTCAGGTGGAGCTTTTCAGCTAATCAGGAAGCAAACCTCCAAAGAGTCACAAGAGAAATCTGAGAGGCTTCATGTAAAGATAAATCTGCACAATACCTTCTCATCAAAGTATTTTTTACATAGCGTGTTTAAAAACAACCCGAGCTGAACAAAGTGGTGTACACGCTCACAGAGGGATATGAAAAGTTATGTGCAGACAGGAAATAGAGAAATATAATAGACAGTATAAAACTAGTCAGATCAGGGCCAGTAACTATAAAAATAAATACAAATATAGTGGAGGACAAGCACAAAGCAGCACAGAATGGAAATACTCAAGTACAGGACTTGAGTAAATGAGCTTTGTGTTCACCATGAGTAGAAACAGGAATCTAAAGTAGCTGCATGTGACAGTAAGTGCTCCAGTGGCTGCCATGTTCACGAGTCTCATTACACATGTGAAAGTGTCACAAAGACCAAACGGTGTTAGAAATGTCCTCTCTCACCACAGAGCGTGCACAAGCAGCAGCAGCTGCAGCACCAGGAGTTCCAGAGACAGATGGAGGAGCGGTTGGAGCTGCTCCAGAGGCAGCAGCCCTTCCCCCCGGCCGATGTGGGTTTGGCTCCAGACAGCGACTACCTGGAGGTGGCCCACATTCGCTCCGAGTGCTCGGACCACAGCAGCCCCAACGTCACCCCCCGAGCCTCCAACCACTCCAACCTGTCCGTGTCCGAGGTGGGAAGCTCAGCCAACGAGCACGAAGATGGAGGTAAAGATTGTAAAATGAAGACTACATGCACACTTTATGTGTTCAGGAACAGTTTTAACTCCGTTTTCATCGTCTCTTCAGAGGACGACTCAGCTATAGTCAGAGTGGGCAACATAACGTTCCATCCCAAAGAGGTCCTGGGCCACGGTGCCGAGGGGACTATTGTGTACAAGTAAGGGAACCTGTTTCTGTTTGATTTATAAAATACTGAAGGACTCTTCCTACATCACAATGTTGTATTTCTGTTGTTTCACCACTAGGGGTCAGTTTGACAACCGTCCGGTGGCGGTGAAGAGAATCCTCCCAGAGTGCTTCAGCTTTGCAGACAGAGAAGTTCAGCTGCTGAGGGAGTCCGACGAGCACCCCAACGTCATCCGCTACTTCTGCACCGAGCGGGACCGGCAGTTCCAGTACATCGCCATCGAGCTGTGCGCTGCTTCGCTCCAGGAGGTGATTTGCTTGTATTTTTGCTGATATGTTGCTCTTGTCTTACAGTTGTAGTTATTGTTTATTCTGCTTTTTTTAAAAACTGGGACCTGAGTACCAATTTCGTACCACAAACATGTAAATGTGAGCTGGCATGACTAGAAAAAGTTCCTTGAATCCTTGAATCCTTCATCGGAGGCTTTTTTTAAGGCACTTTTTTTTTTTTCCAAATCTGGGAAAAGTGGAGTAAAATTTGCTCTTCAGCGCTAGACACACTCACGTTTCCTCGATGATGCGATGCTTGTCTGTCCAGTTAGCATGTAGTTCTGTGAGTTTTAGGTCTGTCGTGTGGTGGTTTGTAAACACTTAGTAAACGCTGTAAAGCCTGTTACAGTCCTTTAACAATGCTAACTGCTGCCTTTCGTTTCTTCAGTATGTGGAGAGAAAAGATTTCAACCGTCACGGACTCGAGCCGGTCATGCTTCTTCAGCAAACCATGTCAGGACTGGCCCACCTGCACTCCCTCAACATCGGTATACATCCCTGAATATGAAACCACTTTGTCATCCTCAGTGACTGCTGTGTGCTACAGCTGCTGACGCCTGGTTTAGTTCACAGAGACCTGAAGCCCCACAACATCCTGGTGTCCATGCCCAACGCACATGGTCGGGTCCGGGCCATGATTTCGGACTTCGGCTTGTGTAAGAAGCTGGCGGTGGGTCGCCACAGCTTCAGCAGAAGGTCTGGGGTGCCGGGCACCGAGGGCTGGATCGCACCAGAGGTTCTCAGTGAGGACTGCAAGGACAACCCGGTGAGTCAGTGGCGGAGAGGCAGCTCTGTCAGGGTGCTGTTGGTTATCAGACTTCACATAAAGGTAACTCTCTGCTCAGCTGGGCTTCCTTTATAAGCGATAAAAGAATGAAGTTCAAGTTAAGCAGTTTTAAACTGGTAGCCTATGAAAGAAGCAGGAGGAATAATCTTTGTTAAAAAAGTTCAACACCAAAGATTTGCGCTGACTGTTGCTTCTGTTATTCTCTGTGCCACATAAACTTACAGACACATTCAGCTAAGATAAATAAATGAGAAAACATGACTTTCAGAGTTCTAGACCACCACTGGTCTGGTTTCTGTTCATCACATGCGATGGCAGCGTTACCTTTTCAAGTGAAAGCATCACATCTGGTGAGGTTGGTGTTCTGTGCTTCATTATGTGTGACCGTCTACATGTTATTTGTTTGTCCGTCTCCTCTAGACCTGTGCAGTCGATATCTTCTCTGCCGGCTGCGTCTTCTACTACGTGGTGTCCCAGGGAAGCCACCCTTTTGGGAAATCTCTGCAGAGGCAGGCGAGCATCTTACTGGGCACCTACAGCCTCGACTACCTGCAAAGTGACAAACATGGTGAGGGCGTGGATCTGTCCATGGCGTTACAGCAGCAGCACTGTAAGCAGGTGGACGGGGAAGTGTGCGACAGCTTTGGGGTTTCTTAATTGATGTCAAAAGTGTACCTCATTCAAACAAGCTTTATGGCTTTGTTAAATGAATGTTTTGTTGTTTGGCTTTTAAGAACAAAAAGCATCCAAGAACTTATTGAGCTAAAAGGAAGCAGTTATTTCGATTCTACCTTGAGAGCACGTCGCCTAAACCAGCGTGTGTGTGTTTATCAGGGGACATCGTAGCCAGAGACCTCATAGAGCAGATGTTGAGCATGGATCCCCACGGCAGGCCTGCAGCCGAAAGTGTCCTCAAACACCCTTTCTTCTGGAGCCTGGAGAAGGAGCTGCAGTTCTTCCAGGTCAGTCAGATTCTGCTCAGTCCAACCACATCTTAGGCAGACTGCCAGGGCGTAATGACAGGCCAGTGTTCTGGAAAAATGGTGTCCATCAGATTTATTCTGCTTTTCATGGATGTACAGGCAGTGATTGTGATTCTTCAGAGCATCATACAGTGTCATGCTTCAGTGTTCAGAATGTATAAAAACCGTCTTTACCCAAATGTGACCAACCGGCCAAACGTAGAGTTCGTTTATTCAAACACTGACGTCTAATACGAGTGTGTTTTCACGTCCGATACTGTTTCAGATTATGACGATACTGCCTGCTCTCGGTTGACATTCAGCGTTTTTGTGGGTTTTGTTGCAGGATGTGAGTGACAGGATAGAAAAGGAACCGCTGGATGGACCAATCGTGAGGCAGCTGGAGAGAGGAGGGAGGGCTGTTGTCAAGGGTGACTGGAGAGAGCACATCACCGTACCGCTGCAGACGGGTAGGAATCATTTCACATGCAAACTGCTGGTGACTCCTGTCAGAACGCTTCTCTTGTTTGTTGTGTTGCTTCAGTTTTGCCCTCCACATCAGCTCGCTGTGTGTTTTGGTTTAAAGCCTGTTGAAGTGCTCCGATGTGCACGTGGCTGCTCTGAATGTTGTATCCTGTTACCAGAAAGAATCACAGTGTGTTTAGTCACAGGAAGTCTGCTGCTTCCTGTCAGTAATGCATCCGCTGAGTGTCTTCAGGCTGCACAATTAAATCAAACCGTCATCATTTGAAGATGCACACGCTGATAAATGATTATGTACGTATAGTATGTTTAATTAGACCACCTTTAGATAGAGCAGTTTGTGCCTCGATGAGGTCCATTAAATCCCCGTCAGTCATTTCAAGTGTCCGACCAGATTTGGATGAAAAATAAACACTCCTGCAGCTCACCTCTGTGCTCTTTTTATTACTTGTTCTGATCAGTTTCAGCTCCAGTTGCAGGACACATGAAAAGCTGTTTGTGGTTTTTGTGATTGATGCATGTTTCTGTTTCTTTGGCAGATCTGCGGAAGTTTCGCTCCTATAAGGGTGGCTCGGTCCGAGACCTGCTGCGTGCGATGAGGAACAAGGTGAGAGTGTTTTCTCTTGTGATAAACTGCCTTGTGTTTAAGATGAAAGCGTCAGATTGACGCTGACCGTCCCTCCACAGAAACACCATTACCGAGAGCTGCCCGCCGAGGTGCAGGACACTCTGGGCTCCATCCCCGACGACTTCGTCTGCTACTTCACTTCCCGTTTCCCCCACCTGCTGATGCACACCTACCTGGCCATGCGGACCTGTGCGCCAGAGAGGCCCTTCCTGCCTTACTACTCCACTGCAGAGCAGCATGCAAAGACTCAGGCCCAGTACGCACAACACGGGCCGCAGAGACGGACTGAGCCCTGCACTCTGCCAACGCACACGTCACTACCTTCCTCACAACCCCCAGAACCGACACATCCGTCAGCGCCTGTGCAGGTCTGTCAACCAGTGCCCTCGGCGCCGGATGAGCCTGAATCGTCACACTTTCCGACGTTGCAGCCAGCAGAACCAGCACCGTCCACACAGACTAGTTTGCACAGTCAGACGGAGACGTTGGCCTCAGAATCGCCTGCAGTTTCTCAGCCTGAGACGTCCACGCTCACGGATCCTCCCACGCTGGACACTGAGCCACAGTGAGCCGGACCAGAGTCGGGAGGATCCGGCACAGACGGGAGCGTCGCCTTAAAGAGTGTAAACCGAGACGGGTTGTGCTGCTGCTCTCTGAGCTGGTGAGGACGGGCCTGCAGTGCCCGCGATCCGCTGCCAGACGCAGCAGCTGCAGCCTGATCTAAGTGCCTTCTGCTGACCCCAACACAAGTCTGTCTCTGCTGAGAGGAAGTCAGAACACCAACCAGGGCTGTTGGGTGTTTTCTTGTAGCTGGACTGAGCAAAGAGAATTTTAAAAACTTTTATTACAGCATGTCCAAAATGGTGTTTGTCCCAAAACGATGTGGTGTCCGCTGAACGTGTCCAGATGTGGTGGAACACGTTCTTGTGCAATGTTGTTGCTCCCAGTGAGCCTGTTCACTGCACACATACGGTTTGTATATTTTTGTAAAGACGGATTCAGAGTTTGGATCATCGATGAGAAATCACTTCATGTGGCCGCCGTGCCTTTTTTTTGTTTTAAACCTCACTGTGCTGTATGTGTACAGATCTTTACATCGACTATGCTAAACGTGCTTGATTCCAGTTAATGCTGCTACACTGCTTCTCTTTTGTCAATCAAGACTGTTGTGGTAGGAGTGGACTGTTCCAAAGGGAGTTCAGGGCGGAAGACGGGAGCTAATTTAAACGAGTGTATGTAGTCGGATATGAGCGTAGAAGTCAGGACCCTGAGATGCTCCTGCCTCATAACTTTTCAAAGCAAAGTGAATGACTTGCAAATTAAATTCTATTTTTGTTTTTATACTAATATTTTGCTTGTTGGTTGATCTTACTGCATCTCAGGAGACGTTTTAACTTCAGTCTGGTTCTAGAAGAGACCCGACAGATCTTGTTGGTTGCAGGTGTTGAGCTGCCGTTACCGTGGGACAGAAGAGCAGCCATCAGTGTGTGAATCACGTATTTATTTACCTGAAACCAGACGCGTGTCCGGATGTAAACCAGTGAACACAGATGAAATAAAAAGCTTTTTTATTCATACAGTAACCATGGACCAAACACTCACACTTGATTGTTGATTGAAATTCTGCTCTGTGTACATTTTGTGTGACTGCTGCAGGTGGATCAGTGGTTAGCACCGTGGCCTCACAGCTAGAAGGTCGCTGGTTTGTGTCCCGGTGAGGACACCCGGGATCTTCCTGCGTGGAGTCTCCATGTTCTCTCCGTGCAGCGTGGGTTCTCTCCGGGTTCTCCGGCTTCCTCCCACAGTCCACAAACATGCTGAGGTTAATTGGTGATTGTAAATTGTCCGTAGGTGTGAATGTGAGTGTGCTTGGTTGTCTGTCTCTAAGTGTAGCCCTGTGATAGACTGGTTACCTGTCCAGGTGAACCTGCCTTCACCCTGAGTCAGCTGGGATAGGCTCCGCCCCCCCGTGACCCTGGTGAGGATGAAGGTGTAGAGATGATGGATGGATGCTGCCAGCAGAGATGATCGGACAGCTTTGACCAACATGCAGCCAAAAAGTCGCGTCTGGATCAGCTGTTGTCTTCAAACAGCTTCAGCTGTCGCTCAAAGTCTGATGATGTTCATTCAGTACGGAGTCTGTACGAACAACATGAAGGAAAACTCGTCTTTAAATCTCCTTCCTGGGTCGTAGTCACACCGGCTTGTTGAATCTTATTCAAACATCATGTTTCATCATTTGTTTAGTTTAAAATCACAACAGTTTCAAACCAAGAGATTTGGGGCTGAGATTTTTCACAGAACTTGGCTTAAAGACGTGAAAACCAGGTGAGGATTCACCAGGTGGTCCAGGACCAGAGACGAGCAGGTAAGAACTATTTGTCTTCTGATTCCTCCTCCTGCCCAGGACAATGCAAACAGCTCTGAACTAGATGAGATGCTGACCTACACCGAGCTTCAGAGGAGCTGCTGTTTATTTAACACAACTGCAGGCATTATAAGAAGCTGTAGTTTTGTTTTGATGCAATCCAACAAAGTTTCACAGTTACTATAATATAGAGGAGATCTATCACTCCTCGTCTGATTGCATTTTTCTGTTGATAGATTAGCAGCAGCTGACCTGAACACACATCAACATGCAGTGTGTGGATTACGTCACCACGCTGCTATAAAACAGGTTTAAAAAAAAGAAAATGCAAAGACAGATATAAAGATATGTGGATTTATTTTGCTTCATATATCAAATACTTTCACATATACACTTTTCATGAAAAATCCATCCATATTGGAAACAAAAACAATCTTCATTATCTTCGGAGAATCCTTTTCAAACTCCAGAACTTACTTGGATCAGAACATCTGCCAGTGTTCTAGTTTTTGTGGTACAGCTTTCTATAGCTGCTCAATCAGGTATGAAAGTTCTATGAAAATAACTTTTTTTAACCAAGCGTTTCATATTTAAAACTATTCTGTATTATTGTGACATGAAACTACAAGCCGTCGGTCCTTTAACACATGAAAACACTCTGCTGTCCTAAAGCAGACAGTTAAACATCCTAATCCTGCAAAGCTCTGCTCCTATTAAATCCACATCGTAATGGCGCTGAGGTGGCTCACAGCAGCTCGGTTTGTTCTTCCTTTAACTCCAGAGGCTTTGTGGTTTCTTCCATATTTACAAAACTGCTCCATGTGGGTTCTGCTTATTATCAGACCTCTGGTTCACAACAGCTGCAGGTGGATCAGTGGTTAGCATCGTGGCCTCACAGCTAGAAGGTCGCCGGTTCACGTCCCGGTGAGGACACCCGGGATCTTCCTGCGTGGAGTCTCCATGTTCTCCCCGTGCAGCGTGGGTTCTCTCCGGGTTCTCCGGCTTCCTCCCACAGTCCAGAAACATACATCCATTATCTATACACCGCTTAATCCTCACCAGGGTCATGGGGGGCTGGAGTCTATCCCAGCTGACTCAGGGTGAAGGCAGGTTCACCTGGACAGGTAACCAGTCTATCACAGGGCTACACTTAGAGACAGACAACCAAGCACACTCACATTCACACCTACGGACAATTTACAATCACCAATTAACCTCAGCATGTTTCTGGACTGTGGGAGGAAGCCGGAGAACCCGGAGAGAACCCACGCTGCACGGGGAGAACATGGAGACTCCACGCAGGAAGATCCCGGGTGTCCTCACCGGTGTGATGTATGTTGCATGTATGACTCCGACCAGTAGGGGGAGTCGCGGCACCAGTGTTTGTGTTTTGAACCTGCTGTGTATGTATAAGAAGACGATAAGTAACATAATATGACAACCGGGACGCCAACCGGCGACCTTCTAGCTGTGAGGCAACAGTGGTCCAAAAACATGCTGAGGTTAATTGGTGATTGTAAATTGTCCGTAGGTGTGAATGTGAGTGTGCTTGGTTGTCTGTCTCTAAGTGTAGCCCTGTGATAGACTGGTTACCTGTCCAGGTGAACCTGCCTTCACCCTGAGTCAGCTGGGATAGGCTCCGCCCCCCATGACCCTCGTGAGGATTAAGCGGTTTATAGATGATGGATGGATGGTTGACAACAGGGAGACACTGGTGCTTTTGAATGCAGCCTTGATTTGTGGTGTCAGTGGCCCTTTTATTGCTGCTCTGGTTTGAGGGGAGGAGCTTTTATTGTTGCAGCGTTTCCCCGAAAACGAAACCTGACCAGCAGGATGAGGAAACTACAGAGAAGCTACACTTCACTACAGAGAAGATCAGAGCTGACTGAAGTGTCTCAGTCCAGAGCAGAAGGTAGGAATCATGTCAACACCTTCTAATGTTTCTGTCTCAGTCCACCAAATGCTCAAACCTGCTTGTCTTTGAATGATTGAATATTGATTGTCTGTGTGTAGAATCTGGGCTCACGTTCGTTTTTGTGTTAAAAATCCCTGAAGAAAGTGGACCACGTCGATTTTTGGCATCGTTTTCTGTTTGCCAACCTGTGGATCATGTTCGAAGAGTCAGAACCTGAGAAATAAAGCAGCCGCAGGGTCACTGGCATGTGAATGTAGTTTGTAATGTTAAAACCCTGCTTTGGTAGAAACCAGTTACATGATGGTGCAAATGTGGTGAAATAAATCCCATGTTCCATCAACCATAACACTGCTAATGGCAGCACTTTTAATAAAATAGTTTGAAGGATTCCTCTTTTAGTCCAGTAACAATATTGTGAAGCTCTTCCAGGTGGGAGGGGCTGGTTTCTCCCTCATATCTGCTCAAAGCATGTTCAAATATTGGCCATAAATGCAAAAAAAAGTTTTAACATAAATTCCTGTGAAGGCACCATGAAGCTCCTGTTGGTGCCAGTCAGAGGAAAAATCAGCCTCTGAGGCTGAAATATAAAGATGTTCTGTCTGTTTGGAGTAGAACAGATTGTGGACTTTGTTTGACCACATTAGCACCATCATAGAACTGGTTTGTGTTCTCCCATCACAGCAGGGTTCTGCCATTAAACACCACATGCACATATCAAGGAACCTGCAAGAGTTCAGGACTCTATTTCTCCACAGCTTGGTGGAAGAAAAGATCCAAACATGGACAGCAGAAAGTGACCACGCCTGTGAGCAAAAAGCTTTTTCTTAATAGCGTACGAATGCACAGAAAAGAGATCTGATAAATATGAGATGGTCAGGCGTGGACTTTTTCAAACTTCAGTGAACTGAGGTGGAGTGACCCAGCGGTGGTTTGACATAACTTTGGACATGAATGTGGAGCCTTGATCTGTGAGAAAAATGTGGATTTAATGAATTTGTGAGGCGGTTAAATACAGTTCTACAGTGCAGAGTATTGCATATAATCATTTGCATGGATGTACCAAAGCATTTAGAACTTGTTCGGAGGAATGAGAAGCTGCACAAGAGACACAATGACGTGAAGATTGAACGGGTAGTTTGAGAATTTCACTTCTGATCTGAGAAATGAACCAAAGTCGGGAAAACAAACACTCACTCCTGCATTCTTCTTGTGAGGACTTGTGCGTTGGTGCAATGTCGCTTCATGCATTTATTTTAATTTCTCGTTCTTTACTTCCGTCTATACAACGTTCTTCTTGCATCTTAGAGGTAAATATTGAACTTTTTGTACAGTATTATTAGAATAATGTGTGCAACAGCCATGACTACTCGTCACCGTCACGTTACAGTGGAAGACTCTCCAGAGGTGGTGGTTTTAAATGTTGGTGGTGAACTAAAGGATTGAGTGTATTCACTGTATTTATTCACCCTCTTAGCTGGAAAACGTGTCGTCACAAGGAACAGAACGGGCCAATATCTCTGAGCTCGTCTAACTTTGTAGAGAGAATTGGTTTTAAAGGGAGACACGACAAACAGAATACGATGCGTTGCTCTACATTAAACTACCCAAAAGTAAAGCAGTAAAGATGAGCAGCAGGATGCAACGTACAGGGAACATTTCACTGCTCAGACTTTACTTTGGATACCTGAAGTAAATGAAGCTGGTAATGCTTTCATCCTGAAGTAGAGTTCTGAATGCAGGACTTGTACTTGTAGTGGAGTATTTTCAGAGAGCAGGATTCATACTTTTACTTCTGCTGAGGCTCTGAATACACTCACACCTAATGTCAAGCTGTACTCTTTGTTTTTATATGACCTGTGAACCTCATGACTACATCGATATAGAAATGTGCCACTCCTCCCCTCAGCTGTGCTCATCTTTGTGTTTTCATTCATTCATTGTCCCGGCTGATCAGAGAACACACAAAACACAAAACGGGACAAACAGGTATGATAGCAAAAAGCAGCTTTACTAAAACATGAATTGTTGGAGAGAAAACTAAAGGCAGCTGGAGAATCCACGTAAAAAACAAACTCAATGACTGAAGAAAATGATCCAAATCAACAGAATCCCAAAACTACAAAACTGGGAAATAAACCAGGTTAGGAGCAAATGAAAAGGAAAGACAGACGGTTTGTACTAAAAGAAGAGACCGGACAGGAGGAAACTTGTGAAGGAAGCAAAAAAGGAGGGAAACAGACAAGTGGATTTCAAAATAAAAGAGGAAGTAACTAAACAGGGATGTGGAACCTAAACACAAAAAGGACAGCACGCTGAGCTGCAGCCTTCTACCAGAGGGAGAGTCGGCCTACGTAGTGCTTTGAATCATGCTTTCATGTTAGTTTATAACCTGCTCCTGTGACCAGGGTTCCAGCTCAAACACTGAAGCTGTCTTATGCGCCTCTCTTCACTACATTCCCCCACAGAGCACTGGCAGGCTTGTTTTTTTAGCTGTAAAATGACCCACAACTCTTTACCAACCAAATGTAAAGGCTCATTGGAGCCCAGTAGAACATTGTTTTGCATAGAGCTTGACTGTGTTAGAACAGTGACTGTACCAGGAAGTAGAAAATAAACTGATGCTATCTGTGATTCCAGTTTTACCAAAAAGATAAATGAGCCTGATGGTAATGGATTGAATGTGACTGAAATGTTTTCCTTTGCAGATGGAAGATGGTGACGAGTCGATGTCAACACGTGTAATGTGACAGAAGGAGAACAGGAACCATGGGTCAGTAAAGCTGGTTTCTAAAAACGTTGTACTGATTTCTGTGTCGTCTAAATGTGTTGTTTTTCTTCTTGTATAAATAAAGTCAGTCCCCTACAGGCTGGGGAAGGGTAGGGAAGATTAAAACTAGAAAGACAGACTAACACACCGCTTGCTTTTGTTTTTGGATGAGATTTATTTACAAAATGTCAAATTCACATGGTTTTCCATCCTCCACATACGTCCCACCGTGTCCCCTGTGTTTGTCTGATTCTATTATTAGTCATCTCACCTGTTCATTCTTTGTGTCTTCCCACCGTTCAGCTGACCGACCTGAGCAGTCGCCCAAGAACTGGAGTGAATCTGACGTGAGCAACTGGCTGAGATCCATCGGAGTAAAGCAACAGTACGTAGAAAAGCTCTACGAAGAAGAAGTAGACGGACAAATCCTCCTCACGCTGAATGAGGACTTTTTGAAGTCAAAGATTTGCATGAAACTAGGGCCCGCTCATTTGATTATTCAGAAACGAGATGAGCTTCTGAAGTTACAGCAACAATGTCAGGAGAAGAAAAAGCCCTCTGGTGGCAAAACAACAGAGTTAGAGCAGAAGAGCAGTCAGAAACCGGTTCCTGCAACAAGCGAAGATCCTCCAGCGCAGACTCCTGTCAGCGATCAGGAAGTCTCAGAGGAGAAACAATGCATGCTGATTTCAAAGCAAGACTGCAAACCGCGGCCATTTGATCAAGAAGGGATTGATTTCATTTACGTAAAGCACAGAGTCCTGCAACCAGAATCCGGTGCTTTTAATCTGACGTCTCCATGCCATGAGTTTAAGTCTTTTTCTGTAGCTGCTTCGTTGGACCGCACAAGACTCCAAACCAAGTTCGCCAAAGAGGTTCTTAAATTTGCGACTGGCTGCATGAATATCAGGTCAAATGGAACAATCCACTTTGGAGTGATGGACAGCAAGGAGGATGCAGGATACGTGCACGGTGAGATAGTCGGCGTCCCTGTGACAGAGAAGGACATTTATGTAGATGCTTTGGACTACATTGAAAGGAGCTTCTCCTCTGACAAGGAGCATGTACGCCAGTGTGTCCGACCGCCACGGTTCATCGAGGTCATGGATCAACAGAGCACAGAAAGGAGGTATGTGGTAGAGGTTGACATTGTGCCCTCCATCAGCATTGTTAGGAGTAAGGTGTACGCAGTCCGTCTGCCAAACTTCAAAGAGTCAACAAACAAAGTAGAATTTGAAAAAGAAGCGATTCTGCGAAGGGTGGGTTCAAAAACAGAGCCAGTCAGCGACAAAGACCTCAGCGACTTTTACCAGAGAGTCAAAGGTCGGGATGCTCAAAGAGACGACGCAGAGAAAAACCAGTTCTTGTTCGCTCCTGAGATCTGCCAAGACCTCGGACGGAAGCTCACCATGCTGATGACGAGTGGAAAGAAATTCATCGAGACAGAAAAATGGTTCATTCTCATCACCAACAAATTCAAGCCCGATGACCTCTGCAACATCGACTGGCTGCTGAACATGAACATATTCTGCGTGTTTGATTTTGACCCAGACTCAAAGATATCAGGTCTTTGCAACAAATACCTTCAGCATCATGCTGCCAACATGCATTTTCTGCAGAACTATAAGATATCTGGTGGCACAAGCATCAAAGAATTCACCAGCCACTTGCATCTGTTTGAGCAGACTAGTTGGATCTTCTGTAATGGCCGCACTGACTTCAAAGGAAACGAAACTCCGTGTGATGAGATGACTTGGATCAAGACCAAAATGACTCTGCTGCGGGAATCTGTGTCGTTAATCAGTAAACAAATCTTGCCCAAAGGCACATTCCAGGTCATTTTTCTTGTCACATCACCAGTTGAGAAACCTCTCCTGCACACCTTTTATGAGTTTTTCACAGACATGGAAGGCCATGAAGACATCGTCTGCATCTGTGAATCGGAGAAAAACTTCCAGAAGTGGCAAAGCTTTGCAGAGGGTTCGTGTGGAAAACAAGCTGTCGACAATTCCAGTGTTGTTGGGATGAAAATGAGTCACATTAATGCAACTCTGCAGAATGTGCAACCTGTGAAAGCTTGTGCCAAGAAGCACTTGCCAGTCTTTGTGAAAGGGAAATGTCTCCTTGAAACATACGAAGAGGAACAGATGTATTCTCTGGAAATCCTGACGGTCGATCATTGTGATGAAACGAGCGATGACTTCATCGAGGAGGAGAAGGCAAACATCGAAAGCCAGTTCCTCCGCGGTGGGAGAGTGACCTGGTTGAACTTCTGGCTTGCCGAGCACAAGTATGTTGGCGAGGTAGTTGAAAGAGATGCCTATCACGAAACGTCCAAACTTCTCAAAGATGCTTTGAAAAACAACGCAGATCAGACTCCAGTGAATATTATCAACATCTACCATCACCCAGGAAGCGGTGGAAGCACGGTGGCAAGACAAGTGCTGTGGAACAACAGGGAGGAGCTGAGGTGTGCCGTTGTGAAGCCTTCGTACTCGGCTGCTCTTGTTGCACAACATGCAGTTGAACTAAGAGAATATGAAGAAACGGATCCACAGAGGTGCCTTCCTGTGCTGCTCCTCATTGAAGACTCAGAAAAAGAATATCTAGACGATCTCAGGAATGAACTAGAGGTTGCCATTAACAGCAAGCAGATCCAGTATGGAACTCTGTGTTTCATTCTGTTGAGCTGCAGACGTTCTCATGATCCAGAGAGGAAATGCAAAGAGTCTCCGTTAAAGAACGTGTCTGTCACTCACAAGCTATCAACTCAAGAGAAGAGAAAGTTTGCAGGAAAACGAAAGGAACTGGAGGCACTTGGATATGAGGCTGATTTCATCCTGACGTTTGTTTTGATGAGTGAAGGCTTCTCTGTGGATTACGTTCAGAAGTTTGTGCAACATTTGCTGCAAGACATTGACCACCGATCTGTGGTCACTCGCCTCATTCACTACGTAGCCTTGCTGAACACGTATGTTCAAAACTCTTTCATGTCTCAGTCCCACTGTGAAGCTCTGCTGGACTTAACCATTCGGTTGGAGAGATTTCGCCAACATACGTTTGAGAAATCCCTCAGTGATCAGGCTAAACTAGTCTTCTTGCACCTCAGAGATGAAAAGACGCACATTGAATCGATCAGAATCATCCACCCTCTAGTGGCGAAAGAAATTCTTCAGCAACTTTTGGGAAGCCATAAGACCCAAAGCAGTTTGGCGATGGAACTGCTCTGTGAGAATGTGCTTTTCGAGCACAGATTTGGAAGAGATGAGTATCTGACTTTCTTGAGACACCTTTTTCTGAGGCGAGCCAGAATAAGCAAAGGGGATGAATATGATAGTTTCTTCTCTCCTCTCATTGATCATGTGCGTGAAAACGAGAAAAGCCCAGAAAAAGCAATTGAGCTCCTCAAGGAGGCATTCGAGCGTTTCCACGAAGATCCATTCTTTGCACAACAACTTGCTCGTCTTCATTATACTTATGAAAAGTTTGATGAGGCAAAACACTGGGCAGAGACAGCAGCTAGACAGCTGCCCAACAACTCATACATCCTCGACACAAAAGGGCAGGTCTACAGGAAATGGTTCAATGCAAAATGCAAGGCAATCGACAACATCGCAAAGACACCCCAAAACACTGCGCATGCTGTGGAGACTGCACTGAAAGCCCTGGAGTGTTTTCAAGAATGTGAGAAAGCAGCTGACGCTGATATGGAGAACATCAATAGTTCAGGGTTCTTCTCTGAAGTTGAGGTTGGGTGCAGCCTGCTCAAGCTGATCTCCTCATTGCAAGTGTTTGCAAATAGAGTCAATGGTCATTCTGAATGTATGAGGTACCTGTTAACGGGTTACATTCCTGAGGAAGTTGAAGACGCTTGGCAACCATTTCATGACCGTTTGAAAAAACTTCACAGTACAATGCAGGATGCCCTGGAATGGATCTCAGAGGACCTCAGTTACTGGCAGACAGACATTGGTGCAGATGAAGAAGAGACACCTGAACGTCCTGAAGAGAAGATCAGCCATCCGCTAATGTGGTTGGCCAAAAAATCTTGTGAGTACGGGAAGTACTTCAGTGGAGCATATTCTACCGCACTTCTACGAGACGGGAAGTCCATCCCAGACAACCTCACTCCTTTCCAGAAACGCATGATCATCTATCATCTTGGTGGTGGCAACATCATATCCATCCTCTCCAAGCTGACCGACGAAAGTAATGGAGTAACTCTTCTCGAGAGTATCCTTTCTCTCTACCCCAGCAATCCAGAAGCCGCCAGATTTGGTCAAAAGGATATCATCAATTACATCGTGTCCCACATCTCTCTGTACTGTCTGTCACCACAAACTCCAAAGGTTGTTCCTCTGAAAAATCTGCAGGCGCTTTGTCGTCAGTTTCCATCCGATAAAAGCAGATGTTTGCCAAGTGCCCTGTTCCTGCTCACTTTGCTGTTCTGGCCAGAAGATCATGACTCAGACCGCGAGAAAGAAAGCAAATATGAAATTGTGCAGTCGGCTGTGGAACACCTGGAGAAAGGTTACTGGACCAAAATGAAAGACATTCCTCAGCGCAAAAAAAGGATCTACACCCATTTCTTTCTGGGAAATGGAACTGGGTTGGATAAATTTGTCCACAAGAGAAAGTTCCAGAGAATCACAAAGGGCTTCTCAGTCTCTGAGAAACGCATGAAGTGGTTTCGGGGCGAAGCGTTGAAGATGCCCGAGATCACCGTGATGCTGAAACGCGTTTCCGGATGGACCGAAGACAGAGCCGTTTTCCTTGAAGGCCCTAAGAAGAAGAAGTTCAGCATCCTGCCTCTATACGTGCCCTCAGTGCCTCACAGTAATGAAAACATCACCTTCAACCTGGGGTTCACTTTCAGAGGCCCGGTGGCCTGCAACATCATCGTCAATGAGTAGTCTGTTTGCAGAGCGACTGTATGTCAGCGACTGCATCACCGAGAGCAGGAAGAGATGATCAACTCAGGCCATGTGTTGGCTGCTCATTCAGTCAAATGTTTTTTAAAAGACACAACTAAAATGTTGGATATGTGGATTTTGCATTGTTTTGTAAGATGTGAGATGAACTGAAATGTATTTTTGTCAGTTTTCTAGTGTGTTTTCAAGCGTAGTCGAACAAAGCAAAGTGAAAAAAATATTGACCACAGTTTGTGTGTACATATGGATTTATTTAGCCTGGACTGATCTACTGCTCAGTGCTTCTTTAAGTGCCTGATTACATCTATATCTAGAATAGTTTTTATTTTCAGATTGTTTTTCCACTTCAGATAGCGTGCACTGTACAGCTGGCATCAAAACGCAGTTTGTGCTTGGATTTTGTGACTTGTTCACATTTTTAGGAAACTGAATGCTGTTAAACAGAAAAACAAACTCTTCCAGCTATGCCAAGAAAAGCAGCACGTGAACAAATGTGTGACTTGATTCTAATCTTCTGTATTTTCAAGGATAATTTGGGGAACAAATGAAAAAAAAAAAAAACGAACAAAAACAGAAGAAACCCCAGCGTGTATCAGTGTTTTAACATTGGGTTAAGAGCAATGCAAACTTTGACAGTATGTTTGTTTTTGAGATAAAGCTGAAAAAAAAAAGACAATTACTGTGTATCCTTTGTTTTATTTTACTTTGAAATAATTGAAAAAATGTTGTTTTTAAGTGTAAGGGCAATAATTCCCAGTGCTTCGGCATCTTTTATGTTACATGGCTAAAATATGTGGCTTTAAGGATTTCAAAACATCTTATAAATGACTATTTCTTCTCCACAAAGCTTTGTGATGGAGCCAGATTTAGTCAGGTTATTCAATACAAGATTAGACAAACTAATACAGAACCAATGCTCCCAGGTTAGAGGTGTCAGTTATTAAAATGTGTTAACAAATCAAATAGTTTTAAATGAATGCACATAGTAACATATAAAGTAGGATTAGCTCATTAGTGGCGATAAGTACTAATGCAATATTCTGGAGGTCAGAACCTGGTGTAGAAATGGTCAGATTCATATTGTATTACGCTACATTAATGATCGATTATTAAGAAATGATGACTCCAATAGTGTGGGTTTTGTCTGTAGTATAGGGGAAATCATCACATTAAGAATGCGGATTTGAATAACTTTGATATAATTTGGTGCTAAATGCGACACATTTTACTTCCTGGCTTTAAATTTTAACGTTTTATTCCTGAAAACTTACTTTAAAAAAAAAAGCGAAATGTAAATAATGTTGTAGTAGTTTCGAGCACTTTTGTCCCAGGTTGCTTGCCGTAGCTTTAGCATTAGCCTGCTTGTTGCTATCATGGATTAGCTCCTTCGGCGGCCTGTTACTGCCGTGAGCTGTTCGGTTATTGTCGGTATGTGAACGCGCATGCTCAGTGAGCAGCGGCGGGTTTCTGCCGCCGGCTGTGGTTCCGCTTCCAGGAGCAGAAAACGGCTCCCAACATGTCGTCCGGTTCCACCGGAGCTGTGCTGCTGCTGCTCGCCTTCTCTCTGTTGGCGTGTTTATGCCTCCACTACGTGTCCAGGCTCGAGTCCGGACCGGTTCGGTGGGTTCACGACGAGCAGCGCGAGCTCTCAGCACACCAACGGCTCGTTTATGAGGCAGCAGGGCGGCAGAACACTTCCGGGAGGGCTGTGCACCCGCAAACATCCGGGGTTTACGGAGACCGTGAATGCACCATGGCCCCAGAGGCTCGGTTCGACTGCGGCAGAGACCGGAGCCTGACCCGGGGGGAGTGCGAGGGGAGGGGGTGCTGCTACGCCCCTCTGGCCGGGTCTGCAGGCCCACCCTGGTGCTTCTACCCCCGGCTGTACCCGGGCTACACCATGGGCCCCCTGACGCCCACCGCCCGGGGCCAGACCGCCTCCCTGACCCGCAGACAGCCCTCCTATCTGCCCAGAGACGTGTCCAGTCTGAGGCTGGAGGTGACAGAGGAGACCGCAGGCTGCCTGCACCTCACTGTAGGTACACACAGCCCCAGATAGAGCCACATGTCACAACAACAACAACAACAACAACAACAACAACAACAACAAGGCTGGTCAGTCCAAACCAGAGAAGAAAAAGTGCAGCAATAAAGTGAACGTGGTTAAAGATTTTCAAAATGAATCAACACAACATCAGTTAAAAAAGTCAAAGAGCTGAAAATGCCGTATTCAGGTAGAGGACCGTAAACACAGCAAATATAAAAACAAGGCCAGCAGTAGTCATAGAGCAGAAATACTTTATTGATCCACAGGAGACATCAGCAGGACGATCACCACGGTACGAATAAACAAGACACATATACTGGAAATATAAGAAATATCAAATATAAGATGTATAAGTAGAAAATGTGCAATAAGGCGTAAAATACACTGATTGAAAATGTTTTTAAGTGGAAAAGGCACCGTACAGCGTCAGAGGCTTAATATGGAAATATACAGGAAGTCAGGAAGTTAAAGTTCTGCCAACATCAGTGCAACAAATGCAACTGCAAAAACAACACAGATCATTATTATTATAGCATATCATGTTATACGTATATAATATGGAATTAGAATAAGGTAGTGGATAAATAAGTTGTAAAAGAGGGTATAAACAAAAACATAAATAACATGTACAAACATAAATTAGACAATAAAAGTAGAAAAGCAACCCTATAAAACAGAAGATTAACGTAGTTTTCCTGCAGGAGTAAAATACAGTGTATTGTTAACTGGTGGAGAAAACAAAGGTGGTGCTGGGCTCCTGATGTTTCCTCTGTATGTGTACAAATCACATGTTGGTGAACATTTACTTGAACTCTTAAGGCCTCTCATGTGAGCAGAGTCTGATGTGTGTCAGGTAATAAAAACGTTCCAGGTTTGGTTTTTTTTTTAGCAACAAATCCACTTTCCCGTCTTTTCTTGTCAGAATCACTAAAAACATGGAGCCTGGCTTCCAGCAGCCGCCACACATCAGCTTCTACTGACCTCAGAGTCCTCAAAGTTCATGAGACGTCGACCAAAGACTGTACTTTAGTAGGAAAAGTAGATACATCCAAAAATATACACCGACAGGAACATCTTGGGGACACAATACCAGCCTGGTTTTTGCACTTGTTTTCCATTTTCAAGGGGCAATAATTAAGATTTGGCCTCTGTGTCCTCACCACATGTCATGGCTCTGGGAGTTCTACTTCAGGTGTAAACCCAAATTAGATTCTCAAAATTCAGCCAAATATTTGACAATAAAGTCTGAACAAAATCTGAGAGGATGTTTTCTGTTTTCTAATTTTTGTTTGATTTTACCAAAATTAAAATGTTCAATTTTCACATGTTTGTTCACCAACTTTGTTTCACCTACTTAAATAAAGTAAATAAATCAATATTTATTCAGATTTTTCAGTGTTTTGCAGTTTATGTCTTTATCTGTGATTTATGAATTTCATAATTTTTTGCTCTTTTCTCAGCGTTCTTTAGAAATAAAACCCAGCGCTGTGAATCTGTGGAGCGATAATTTAAATGTTGTTCTTATGTATTCATCCGCTCTGCTTAAGCTGAAGGACGCAGCGTCTCAGCGGTATGAAGTTCATCTTCCAGGTGGAATTCCTGAGAGCAGAGCTGATAACCAGAGCGTCCTCTACGCCACCGAGTACCGGTCGGACCCGTTCGGCTTCATAGTGCGACGAAGATCAAACGGGAGAGTCATGTGAGTGGTTCTGTTCAGTGTTAATTCATTTATCACAGTGAAGCCAGCCTGCTTCGTCCCTCCGTTCATAATCCTACAGTTTTCTCTGCTTGCAGAGTTTTCCTCTCATCCAGCTCAGGGTTTACAGCACGTGTTCCCACTGCTTCTGCTTTTAATACGTCAATAACACAAAGTTTACTGCATAAATAAATCCCACCAGCTGACATGAAAATCCGTCTTATTCACTTCACATGTCAGTGGTTTTAATGTTGTGGCTGATCGGTGTAATGTCGTGCCACCTGGATTATAAAAACCTCATTTTATTACACTTTGTACAGTTTATGCCTATTTATAGTACATTTTACGCTGTATATATGGTTTATTGTGCATATTGAGCATCAGGGCTGCAGGTGTCTCAGTGGTTAGCACCGTGGCCTCACAGCTAGAAGGTCGCCGGTTGGCATCCCGGTGAGGACACCCGGGATCTTCCTGCGTGGAGTCTCCATGTTCTCCCCGTGCAGCGTGGGTTCTCTCCGGGTTCTCCGGCTTCCTCCCACAGTCCAGAAACATGCTGAGGTTAATTGGTGATTGTAAATTGTCCGTAGGTGTGAATGTGAGTGTGCTTGGTTGTCTGTCTCTAAGTGTAGCCCTGTGATAGACTGGTTACCTGTCCAGGTGAACCTGCCTTCACCCTGAGTCAGCTGGGATAGGCTCCGCCCCCCATGACCCTGGTGAGGATTAAGGTGTAGAGATGAAGAATGGATGCTGAGCATCAGAGGCACTAAAAGTCTCCTGTATCGCCCTCTGAGTCATGGATTTGTCCTCTGCCCAGAATGAACACCACCGTCGCCCCTCTGCTGTTTGCTGATCAGTACCTGCAGCTCTCCACCACGCTGGCCTCCTCCCTGGTGTCCGGCCTCGGAGAACATTACACCTCCATCCTCCTGGACCTCAACTGGACCTCTCTGACTCTGTGGAACAGAGACATGGCGCCGCATGTGAGTTTTGTTTCTTCTCCCTGTGATGAACAACCCAGAAGGGAAGAATCCACATGTTACTGATGTTGGTGATGGAAAATAAAACGTGTGCTGCCCGCTGTCCCTGTAGAACATCCATCCATCCAACCATTATCTATACACCGCTTAATCCTCACTAGGGTCATGGGGGGCGGAGCCTATCCCAGCTGACTCAGGGTGAAGGCAGGTTCACCTGGACAGGTAACCAGTCCCTGTAGAACAGTCTTTCTTAAACACACCGTCAAACCCGTTCAGAAACACGAGCTGTTTGTGGAGCTTTTCTTGTTCGTAAACACCCAGACAGCTTTTTATTTCTAAGATAGTTCAGCCAAATTGAATTATTTTAGACGCGTTGTGCATCCCACATATCTGGTGTTTTTGGACACTTTGGGATTTCTGTGAGGACTTTTGTAGGATTGAACAAATTTGTCATCCAGCAGGAGACTGATTGAGGTGAGGTTACCTGAACTGACAGGGCTGAAGGCAGGAAACAGACACGACACACCAACTAAATAAAAGACAAACGTCATCATTAAGAGTTCGTTGAGGGCCAAAAACATAAAATAAGATTAGTCTTGAGGCTGGTCCTCCAATAAAAGTCACCAAAATCTGTTTTTTAAGTTGTCGAGGGTGTAAAGTGGAAGTTTATATCACGAAATCAGAGGAGGTGCAAGGACAGAACTAGGAAAATCTGATCCTACAAGGCCCCTAAAAGTTATTTTATTAGAGTAAAAATAACTCAGATTAAACAACCAGTGATGGATAATACCAGATGTTTTTGTTTTAAGGCCTCCAAGGACAGAAAATGTTGCAGAAAATAATTTTCAGTTGGCAAAAGCAAAACAATAAATTCAGTTTGAGTGTGTTGCTCCAATAGAAGTCATTAAATCTGGTATTTACGTTGTCGGGGCTGTTAAATGAAACGCTGCATCACAGAATCAAAACATGGTCCTGAAGTCAGTCACTGGATCATTTTCTCTCCAGGCCCCTAAAAGTTGTTTTATTTGAGTTAAAGCGACTCCGACTAGACAGCGGTGATGGTAACCGTGGGTGTGTCTCTACAGGCCGACGCCAACCTCTACGGCTCACATCCGTTCTACGTCGTGCAGGAAGACGACGGCTTCGCTCACGGAGTTTTCCTTCTCAACAGCAACGCAATCGGTGCCGACCCGTCTGATCCACAACACACACGGTTTAGTTTACATTTCCACGAATGTTTCCAGCCAACAAGGACACTAATGGTTAACAACCGTCTTCCCAGAGGTGATGCTGCAGCCGGCGCCTGCTCTGACCTGGGTGTCCACCGGAGGGATCCTGGATCTCTACATTTTCTTGGGTCCTGACGCCCACAGCGTCATACGACAGTACCTCAGCATCATCGGTACGCCCTCTACGTGTGTGAGTGACGTTCAGTGACACCTGTCAGAGCAGTAACAGCATTTGGAGCTCGTACCTCAGGTCGTTTTTAAGTGCAAAACTTGTACAAGCCTGTCAGTGCATGTGAAGGAACCCTGTGGCAACCTGGATAAAAAAGGGAAAAGTGTTTCAGTGTTGTGGTTTCTCTGCTCCCAGGACGTCCCATGATGCCTCCCTACTGGTCGCTGGGCTTCCACCTGTGTCGCTGGGGCTACACAACATCCAACACGACCCGCAGAGTCGCACAACGCATGCACGACGCCAACCTTCCCCTGGCAAGTACAGGTCACAGGACGGGATTATTCAGGCGCTTTGCTGTGTTGTAGATGTAATTTTAAATGGATTTAATGAAGCTAAACATTGATTTAAATGAGTCCAGCCGTCACCTGGCTGATCCCGTCCCCACCGTGCTGCTTTGTTTGCTTTCTAGGACGTTTTCTAAATGTTTAATTTTTATGTTTTATTGAGTATATGAGAATCTGAATTCCTGATGAGTGCATTTATTGTGTAATACTCTGATCATCTGTCTTCTCTTTTCCTCTCCACCAGGACGTGCAGTGGAATGACCTGGACTACGCAAACAAGCGCAGGGTGTTCACCTTCGACCCGTGGCGATTCGGAGACCTCCCGGAGACGGTGGACGGGTTTCACCAGAGAGGCATGAAGTACATCCTGATCCTGGTGCGACGCCTTTCAGAATAAGAGCTGCTGGTTTTCATTTACATTTTTTTGCATTTCAACTCAAGTCACAAGTACAGTTCTCTAAATGAGAAAGCATTAGTGATGCTCTGCCAGCAGATGGCAGCAAAAATGAGCCTTTCTGTCCCGGTTTGTGTCTCAGGACCCGGGGATCAGCAGCACCGGCGCCCCTGGAACTTACCCGCCCTTCGACGACGGACTGAAACGAGATGTGTTTATAAAAAATGCAACAGGAGGCATTCTGATAGGGAAGGTTGGACTTTGTTTTCTGATGCTGTTATTTGAGGTGTGTGCAGGTTGTGTGTATCCTCTGTTAACCGGGGCGTGGCTGCTGCTCTGTGCCTACAGGTCTGGCCCGGCCCGACCGCCTTCCCCGACTTCACCAACCCAGAGACCAGGCAGTGGTGGGAGGACTGCATCAGAGCGTTTTACGCCAAAGTTCCCGTGGACGGTCTGTGGATTGTATGTAGACGCAGTTGTTGAGTTTGATTTGCACCTTCACACTCACAAGAACACTAACTTATGGTGATGTTTTGTTCCCTCCTGCTCCACCAGGACATGAATGAACCGGCCAGCTTCGTGCAGGGCTCGGTGGAGGGTTGTCCTGATAGCGATCTAGAGAACCCGCCCTACACGCCCAGTACGTGTTCGAGGTTTATCGGTTACACATTTACGCTCAGGTTATACGAGTGCATTTATGGATATTGCTGATAACACACTTGTCACGCAGCCTGAGTGTGTCCCTGATTGTCAACAGAGGTGGTTGGAGGTCGGCTGAACTCGGGGACTCTGTGCATGTCAGCTCAGCAGAAGGCCTCCTCTCACTACAACCTGCACAATCTGTACGGACTCACAGAAGCTCACGCCACGCACAGGTTGGGCCCAGAAATAACGAGATGCCAGAACACTATGAGCAGGCGGTTGCATGCAGGAGGGCGGCTTCGTAGCACAGAGATAAAACAGTTAAACGCTTATCAATGGTTCCACCGACTCGTCGTAAAAGTCTTGGAAAGTAGGACAGCAGTGTTTAACTGTAGGTCACTGGAATGAAACTGAGCTCTGGTCTGGTCACCAGGATTTAAAATGTCAAATCTGAGTGGAGTCAGGAAATGAATAATACAGTCATCGTACAGGTGACGTTGTTAAAGGCAAACTCAGGAAACCCCTTTTTGCTTTTGATGCATTTGATTAATTTCAATAATATATTACTGCTCTAGAATTAATTTGATTTATTTATTTCTCTATTTACACATTAGTTGATTAGATTTATTCGTCGCTCTTCTTAGAACTAATTCTGTTTATTGATTTCTGTATTTATCAGAAATCAGAAAGCGTTTTACTGTGGTACACAACGTTAACAAGACAGGCAACAAATACAGGATCTAGATCTAAGAAATCTAAATAAAACGTGTAAAAGAAAAGTATAAAAGAACGACGTAAATAAGACGTGCTGTGAAGAGAGACCGGACCTAAAGCAGACAGTTTAAATGACAATACAACACTGCACATGGAGTGGAAGCTGAAGGTTTATTCACCTGTTTACATGTTTTAGTTCATTGTTTATTACTTTTTTGTTTTTATTATTTCCTTACTCTGTTTTTATGAAGTTTGACTTTTATTTTGACCCCCAGCTATCTGTCTGTCTGTATTTTAATTATGGGTATTTTATTTTATTCATTTATTTTATTTTGTCTCATAAGGTGTTTCCTTATTTTACGTGTGATCTCCGACAGCGTTCCCCTGTTTAGGATTCCTTCGTTTATAACCTTGTTTGCATGTTTATGCAGCTGTGAAGCTCTTTGTGTTGGTCTGGTCTGTATTAAAGCTGCCATATTAATGACGTGTCTGCTCAGCGCTCTCCTGGCGGTCCGGAGGAAGCGCCCCTTCGTCCTGTCTCGCTCCTCGTATCCCGGCATCGGACGCTTCTCTGGGGTTTGGACGGGAGACGTGAGAAGTGACTGGGAGCAGCTTCGGCTCTCTGTTCCTGGTGAGGAGATGTAGTTTGTGAAACCGCTCTACGTTCTCACAGATGTGTGAACGCATGCGATGGCTGCTCAGTTTTTCATAGAGCTGTGATCAGCAGCTGTGTGGTTTGACGTTGGGATGGATTCGACTGATTTCTTGCACTTCCTGTTGCTCCCCAGCGGTGCTGCAGTTCGGCCTGTTCGGCGTTCCTCTGGTGGGAGCAGATGTCTGCGGCTTCGAAGGCGACACCACCGAGGAGCTGTGTGTTCGATGGATGCAGCTCGGCGCCTTCTACCCGTTTATGAGGAACCACAACGACAAACCCAACGCTGTGAGAGACCGTCTGTCTGTCTGTCTGTGTTCTATCTGCTTATGTTCTTTTAGCGTCATTGCACAGTTGACAGTAAAATCAACCAGCATCCCATCAGTGAATTCACACAATCAGACATTTTCGGGGTGCCGTAAGAAACGTGCAGATTTAAAATATGCGGGTCATTCCACCTCAGAACGAACAACGTTCACACCTCACCATCTCCTGTTTGTCTGATGTTTTTCTGTGCATGTTATTTAATGAAACGTGTAAAATCTGGGGTCAAACCTAACATTAGTGTTAGTTAGAAATTCTTCTTCATGTCAACCTGTGGACTGATGCTCTAAGAGCCATAGCTGGATCAAATATGTGGATGGAGTCCTGAAATGCTGCAGGTTCATTGATACCTACATGTGGTCTCCAATGGTAAAACCCTGCCTTGGTAGAAGAACACTAACCACTGATATGATGGTGTAAATTTGGTTTAAAAAAATAAAAAAAAAAGGACATTTATTCCGATGTTCCACCAACCATAAAACCTTTATTTTTATGATTAAATTATTATTATTTTGTACAAAGAAATGCGTTTTTGAGGTCCTAAACGTACTTGAAAATGCACAAAACTTGGCACACACATCAGACTCAGTGAAAAATTTTATAATTAGGGGAAAATACACACTTCAATTGAAAAATGGCTCAACAGCGCCACCTGGAAAATTACAAAAAAAGTGCCCCCAAACACACTTTCACGTGGAGCCATGAAATTCAGCACACACGTGTAACATGCCGAGACACACAAAAAAGCCTCAAGAACACATACTCAAAACTCAACAGGAAGTCGGCCATTTTGTTAAAAATGGCGGCTTGTGGCCGAAAATGGCCATTTTTGGCCATTTTCAAAATCGATCTCCTCCTACAGGGAACGTCGTACAACCTGAAATTTGGCCAGCACAAACTACAGGAGGTGGTGATTAAAAGTTATCAAAATGCTCCGCAAAAGTCTGACGGCGTGGAAATGGCGGCCCGTGCAATTTCGATCAATGGCCGTTTTGGCCATTTCTGTGGTGTTTCCAGCATTCAACGGAGTCCCGTCGGAAGAGCGTTTCACCTACAGCTACAAGATTCGGTGGGCATGTGTAGCAGGTCAGGACGCACAAAAAAGTCAGTCAGTGCCAAGCCCTGAACCCAACAGGAAGTCCGCCATTTTGAAAAAAATACAGTCAGAATTTTGCGATTTTCACTCATTTTTGTCTCCTCCTAGGGGGTAAGTTGCACACACCTGAAATTTGGCCAGCACAATCTAGAGGACGTGGTGATTGAAAGTTATTGAAACGCTCTGCAAAAGTCTGATTCGCTCAAAATGGCGGCCTGTAGAATTTCGCCAAAACGCCATAAAACGCCGTTAAATGGGACGTGCTGTGTAACTTACCTGTATGTGCTCCGCTCTGACTGAAGCTGTACACGTGTGCTCTGAGTCCTGCCACAGCGTGTTCAATGTGCACACTGACTGTCTCAGTCGCACTGCTGCGAGAAGCCAGCCGTCAAATGCTGCTTGCGGCTTTAATTATTTTTACCTTTTCCATTTTTTGTCCATTTGTGGCCAATAATTGATCGTGTACTGAGCAGGTATGAGAGTGAAACCACTCTGTCCCAACTGGAAGAGTTTTACAATGCTGTTGCTGGACATCAGGAAAAACACTGGTTTTCTAACTCATGTATTCACAGATAACTTC